TTTTAATATATCTTTATTGATTTCAGAGAGAGGAAGGGAGAGGGAGAGAGAGAGATAGAAACATCAATGATGAGAATCATTGATGGGCTGCAGCCCGCAACCCCGGGCATGTACCCTGACCGGGAATCGAACCCTGATCGCTGGAACCTAGGTCGACGCTTAACCGCTGAGCCACACCTGGCTGGGCTCTGCTGACTTCTTAAGCCCAGAATCCTTCTGAGCCTAGCAGCTCTGGTCGTGGGGGAAGTTTTAGCAGCAAGGGAAATTTGCAGCAGGGCACCAGTAGTTACTGGACAGTAGAGCTGTCCAGAATTGAATGTAAATTGGATATTACTTACATGCTTTCCATTTTACTAATGGAGTCGTAAGCCCTAGGGAGACATCCAAGTGAAAGCCCAGTGTATCTGTCAGTGTCGGCCCGAACTTCCCTGGTATTGGCTGGTACTTACTACAGTTGATCTCTTGACTCACCAACCACATCCATATGCTTGCTTTATTTTTACTTACTCCACATTACAGAGTGATTGTATGTTAATTTTCACATTGCTTCATGCTTCCTGAGCTGCATCTTGGCTCCTTTTGAATATGTCATTTAGCCATGACTTTTTTCTTGGGTTGTGCTCATCGCCACCAATTTGTATCGCTTGTCTATCCTCTTTGCTTTCAAAATTGTTCAGAATATTGCCTCTCAGAGTCTCTTTCCATTTACAACTTCAAAATGGTATCTTTTGTGTTTTCTCCTGGTTGTCATGATGGGTGCGTATCGAACAATTGGCTTCCTTTGCAAGCACACCCGATGTCCGCAGCCTGGCCTTGCAGCAGCAATACCAGGGGCCGTGGAATCCACGCCTGTCAGCCTGACAGCTTGGGGCCTGCCTCGGTGCGCTCAAGGGCGGGGTGGAGGTATGCAGTGGGGAAGGGAAACCTGGGGGTTTAGATTAGTGCACTTTCCAGGAATATTTTGAGGAAGATAAAGGAAGATGCTTAAAATGTCATGTTTTCTAAAAGACTTTGAAATCGGATCCAGGGTAAATTCTTCTATATACTATCCAGTCAGTCACCTTTGGTTCTGACATTTTGGACTGGAACTCATTCCTGTCTAAAAAGCAGCATTCTCCAGTGTTGCGTGGAGTGTGGGTATATACGCATGAATGCGTTAACCAGCCCTTGTCAGTGAAGAAGACGAATTGGAAATGGGTTCTGGAAATCTCTTTCTATACCATGTTCTTATATGTAGCTCTCTTTTACCATTATCCCTCTATATTCTAAGCACTGTGAGGTAGAAATTATTGTACACACTTTATAAATGAGGAAACTGAGATTTAGGAAGTTAAGTGCCTCTCTGAAGGTCATACAGCGAATTGTTGATGAAGCTGACATACAAACCTGTTTTATCTGGCTGCAAAGATTATAGGTTTAATAACGGTTTTAATACCATGTTCCACCTTTTCAGCTATATAAGTAATTGTTGTTTCTTATTTTTTCTTTTCCAATTTCAGAATCTTTTATGGAGCATGCAGCTATTGACTAGTAAATCTAGTGGCTTAAAACTAAAGGAGGCTGAGTGTCTGGGATAGAGCTGCCACTATTTCACTGGGAAAAGGTTGTAGGAGAGATGTGAGCAGAGGAGGCTCTCCTGACTTTTCATGAAAATGTTACTGCCTCTATTTCTGTACTGAGGCCTTGTTAGTAACTCCAGAGTATCAGGTCTTAGTCTTATATTCCTCAGAGGCAGAGTCTTTAAATACTCTGGAATGGTATCTGTAGAAACTCCACAGTTGTGATGGTGTCTTAGATGACACCATCTGGGAATCACTGTCTGACTTATGGCCAGGAAGCAAACAGGGTAACATTCTACAGCTAACTTTTTAATTTAACTCTTAAAAATTAAAAAAAAATTCTTTTCAATTACAGTTGACATTCAGTATTATACTAGTTTCAGGCGTACAGCATAGTGGTTAGACATTTACATAACTACGAAGTGATCATCCTGATATGTCTAGTACCCATCCAACACTGTATATAGTCATATATGTATACATCATACATAGTAATACATAGTTATTACAAAATTATTGACTATATTCTTTATGCTTCACAGCTAACTTTTAGTTAGTGTTTTTGGCTTCTGATTTTATTCACAAGTAAATATATTTAAACTATTTTATCATGAGTTCCAGAATCTAGAGCAAAGGGAAAATGGGATACTAACTTTTGGTCCCATTTTTAACCCTATATAATTTAGCTCATATCTGAGTTCCTTTATGAAAACTGTAACCTAAGATAGACATATAGCCCCCTATGGAACTTCATTCATGTCTGTTTAGGGTTTGGGTTTTGTGTTATGTAACTTCCTGCCACAGAAAGAAGTGTGTGAATCATTTGTGTGTATATTAGCTATATGGCAGACCTACTGTGCAAATCTGTCTAGGGATTTGAAGGGACTGAAGGTCTTTTTAGAAGATAAATCTGAACGTATCAAGATAATAGCAGTAAGAGGGTACTGGGATAAAATTTCAGGGAGAGAGCACCACCTGGTGGTTATAAGGAGGATTTGTAGCATCTGAGTGATATCTTTGTAAAAATATTACGTTTTTATTTATAATAATCATGGATTCAAATTTCTAAGAATAATCTGGCATATGATTCTAGCATTCCTTTATTAAGACTGCTATCAAAAACTGCAAACCAACCAAATAATTGTGTTCGGCAGAATTGAAGGCCTGTGCTCTTAGTTGTTCAAACCACGGGGTCTGTTTATCTCTGTAGAAAAGTCTTTTTTTTGTCTTTTCACCTCTTTATTGCAATTGCTAACTTTGATATCATGCTGTTTTATGTGGTAAGTTTCTGCCTAGTGGAACGATAGAGAAGGATATATTAGTGATTTTTCAGTAAGTCTTTGGCAGGTGTTATATAAAAGTAAGTTGCTTTTTCCTGTATAAAAATTATGAAGAGGAGTTTGATAATTTTCCAGAGTGATTATTAGGATGAGCAAAGTTGGCAGGGGATGGGAGATTATGTAACAGTTTTAAATTAAAATACATATCTGAGGTTTCTTTTTTATTTCAGTAAGTACCTTTATTTGACAGTCTTGAATCTAGGTGATTCTGTAGTTCAGCCTAAGTGGCCAGCCTAAGGAGAAAGGATCCTGTTAAGTTAATCTGGATGCATATTTTATAGGCCTCGTAGGGAGGGGAGGGTAAACAAGGTTTTAAATTTCGGATTGAACCTTGGGCTGGTGTGGCATGTCTGTATCTTTTTTCCTAGTGGGAAAAGTGAGTCTAGGCCCCACCACCATTGAAAAGGTGCTTGAGGCAGGGCTGTTCATGTGAGATACTAAACGGAATGTGACATAGCTTTGCACTGTTCTCCTAGGATTTTTCTTCATATAGGTATTATTATAACATCTGCATTTCAACACTCATTACCAGACATTGTAAAAAGCTGCTCCATACACAAATGTCCACATATTGTATAAGTCCATTTATATGAAGTGTCCAGAACTGGCAAGTCTATAGAGACAGAAATTAGATTTCTGGTTGCTGGGACCTGGGGGTTGGGAGGAGTTGGGAGGAAATGGGGTGCCTACTTATGGGTTTGTGATTTCTTTGGGGGGAGATGAAAATGTTCTGGAATTAGATAGTGGTGATGGTTGCACAACTGTGTGAATACAGGGTGGGGCAAAAGTAGGTTTACGGTTGCTAGTACTCAAAACAGTTTATTCTTGTATTATTATTTATTAATTATTGTATTTTGCATATGAACACTGTAAACCTACTTTTGGCTCACCCTGTATACTAAAAACTACTGTATTCTACACTTAAAAAATTAAAGCTAAACGAAAAAAAAAACCAAAAAACTGATCCGTGAAGGAATGAACAAAACCAATAAAAAAGGTGATTGTGATAACAATTCTCTCATGTTTAAGCTGAAATGTTTGATGATCTAAATACTACAGCTTGGGTCTTGAGTGTTGTTTTAATTTGTACTTTATTGACCTGTTTTGACCTTCACAGGGCCGCGATGGGCCTCCTGGAACATTGGCGTGTTCATCTGCATTCGATGTGCTGGAATCCACAGGAATCTGGGGGTGCACATATCCAGGGTAAAATCAGTTAACCTTGACCAGTGGACTCAAGAACAGATTCAGGTACTCATACAAACCAAGAGTGTGTGAAAGTAGTTCCAGATGAATTTCAAACTGGGCACAAAGGTGAAGATAAAGGAAAGTTTAGTTGTCAAATACTTATGTCCAATTCTCCTACCTTAATAGAGAAAATTCCAATCTTTCTATTTAAAATACAAATTATTCCACCTATATTTTACCTACTTCAAAACACAAATAGTCTATGGTCTAGGACCCTATGGATCCAGAAAGGTATAAAGGAGGATCTTTGGATTATTTTCTAAGACCCTTGGCATTTGCAGATCTAACACTTGTAGTTTTAGATATTCTCTTAAGAATAAATTTAAAAAAACCCTCTAAATCATAGACTTATAACATTTTATTGCTAAAATGCAAATGTGACTCTTGCTTGCTGTTAGGTTGGTGGGCTGGGACTGAGACGCTAGAGTTAGTGAGCTCAGCTGGTTTAAGATCTGCGCCTCTGATGTGGCTTCATTGTTCTTGTTTCTCTTCCTGCATTGAAACTTTTTATAGTAATTTTTTTAAAAATTGGGGGAGTGGTGGTGGGAAAGAGTGGCTACAAAGAAAGTCAGTTACTAAAGTGATGGTAGAAATAAGAGGCTATTCTTAACCAGAACATAGCTTTAGAAATACTTTAAACTGTTTTTATAGATTCATTAAAGATCTATAAGTTTAGTTATATTTTTCAGTTGCATTTTACTGTATCTTATGAAGGAAATTACATGCCATGGGGGTATTTGGGAATTTGAAGATTTTAAAAGATCTTGGGATTTATCCCTCACAACTGTTAAGGAGTCTGTTTCAAAAGCCCAGTGTAAAACATGCTTATTGGTTATAAAGCTGAATAGATTAATTAATAGTATAAATTCCGAATGTAGTTACTGCCTGCATGTTGCCTGCCCGATTAGGCACTGATTATTGCCTGCCACGTAGACATTTTGGTTGGTAGCTATGTGTCTTTGACTTTCAAATGGGATCTTGAATTATTACTGGATTAAATATATCTTGTCAGACAGATCTTTCAATAAAAGGAACTCATGGGGAGGGGGGCGGTGGAAAAGACAACTGTGGTGGCAAATAGTTGGGAGCAAAGTAGAGAGAATCATGGATTGGAAATCAAAATACAGAGGTTTAAATCTGGGCTCTGTCCCTGTCTAGGTTGGTTCTTCGATGTAAACTGCTGCTATTGGGTGAGAAGTTTTTCAGTTCTTTCCTGATCTGACATTCCATGTTTCCACATCTCTTTGATTGCAGTGTATGCAAGAGATGGGGAATGGAAAGGCGAATCGCCTTTATGAAGCCTACCTTCCTGAGACCTTTCGGCGACCTCAAATAGACCCGTATCTTTTCTGGAGCAACTTAGAAGCCTGAGTGGTATTTTGGTGTTGGGGGAGAGTCACATAGGACTCAAGACCCATGATCTGTCTACGCAGTCAGATCTAATCTGTGGATTAGTCTTACCTTGTTCTCTCTCCCCTGCAACCAAGACCTACAAAAAGCATGTGCATACTTTCTGTGTCAGAATGGTGGTGTCACATCGGGAAAATACATTCAGGAATTAAGACTGCGGTGAATTCTTCTGTTAAGTGACATCTCCAGTAGTTTTTGGATCTCTGAAGCTATTGTTTGATAAAAATAGTTTACTCTGTTGTGTTGAATCAGCACAACTACCATTCATTTTTAAGGCCTTTTTATGTCCTCCTGTGTGAAAGAATTAACTGTTGTTGACCAATTAATAACCATCCCCTCAACATGGGTGAGCACCCAGCTTACAAAACCAACCCCCCTAAAGGCAGTGCTTCTCAAGATGTGGTTTGTTAGAGTTTGCTTTTGGTTGGTGCAGGTGGAACCTGTTAAAATGCAGATTTGGGGCCCTGCAGAAAACTCACTGATCAGAACCTGGCCATGAGGTGCAAGAGTTTATAGTTTTTAGGGCAACTCAGTTGCCTTTGTTTAAAGCCTTTTGACCTAAGGTGATTGACAGCTACTTTACCTATGTTCTAGAACATCCACAGGCTCCTCTGCTGTCAATATGAAGGTTAATCCCATTTGTTGCTATCAATACTATGAAGGAAAATCATAGTAAATCGGATTCCTTGCAATAACTGTGAAGGAGGCATTTCATGGTTTTGGTCAGGGAGACTGCCTCGGAAGAGACAGGAGCCATATGGGGAAACCAGGCAGGAGGAGAGAGGAGAACAGCATCCCCTGGGATACAGGTTGGCCTTTTATAGTCACCCTGTGGGAAAGACTTGTTTGATTTATCCTTAATAGGCTTTTTGCAGAGCTGTAGAGGGATTTATTCGAGATAAATATGAGAAGAAGAAATACATGGACCGAAGTCTGGACATCAGTGCCCTTAGGGTCGGTTGTAACTCTTTCAAGTTTTGTTTGTTCATAATAAGTAATTTGCTTATTAATCAGGCCAGGGAAGAATTTGAAGAATAACTACCAACATTCTTAAACACTGTCATTTAAAAAATTCAAGTCCTGGTTACAGTATCGTCCCAGTATACCAAGGTTGCAGTTTCTGTCCCTGGTCAGGGCACATACAGGAATCAACCAATGAATGCATAAATATGTGGAACAACAAATCAATGTTTCTCTCTATTTCTCTTTCTGTCTTTCTCTCCCTTTCTCCTTCCCTCTCCCTCTTCCCCCTCCCCACCTCAAATCAATAAAAATAAAAATACAGAAGTAGAAAAAAGCCAATTATTGAATCAAGACCATGAAATATCATGGAGCAAACTTTGGCCTCAAGGGTGGACAGGGCAAACCATCAGTGAATTCTTTGCCTTGATCTGTATTTGGATGTTAGTGACTTCCAGTTCCAAGTTATTTCTTCAGAGGGACATGTTGACCATGTGAAATCAAGTAGAATAAAATGTGCATATACATGTATATGTGTGTGTATATAAATATTTATATTATTATATACATACAAACCCTTCATACACATGTACATACATAAATACATACACACATAGATAAATATTTTTTTCCATAAATGAAGTCAACAAAATTAAGTGTAATTAAATCACCAGTTTCCTTCAGTTTGACCAGCATGTATTTCCTGTGTCGGTGGGCTGATTGCCAACGGGATGACCCTTGTTCCTGAGCAGGGTTTTAGATGGAGACTGCCTGTTGCCGAGTACGCTTTCTATCCTAGGCATGTGGTTAGAATCTGAAATACAATGTATGATAACTGGGACAAGTATAATATACAGGGGGAAATACGATAAGAAGAATATAAGCCTGATCACTGATAACTAAAGGACCAATAACAATGACTAGACCTTTAAAAAGCCTTTGACAAGGCCCTACAGGAAGTTCGCTTAGGTGTAATTGACTTTTTCTTGAGCCACAGAAGGATAGAAGTATGGTCCTCTCTAGCACAGGTCCTCTCTATCTGTCATCCATCTAGTTAGTTACTTTAATGGAGGATGCACTAGGTAGTGAGATCTCTAAGTTTACACGGAGCTCTAAGCCCTTCCAGGTAATTTAAAGCTCCAAATTGATCTTTTGAGGTTGTGTGAAAAGGCATTAACTGATAGGTGACCTTCAATGCAGGCAAATAAGTGGAAGGTAATACTTGTAGTTAGGCAAAGACAATTCCCCTTAACTTAATGTGAAGAACTCTTAGCTCATAGTCATCCAGGAAGGGGACCTGGAGGTTATCATAACTGTTCCAAGGAAGATTAGCCCAGTGTATAGCTGTGGCTTGGATGGCATCATCAAAAACGGTTTGAAACCCAAAACATACATTTCCTTTTATTTGTAGAAACCTATGGTCTGTCTGCCTACCTCTGTTCATTGTACCTGAAGTTGTGAAATTAGATGAGCTCAGAAAAGGATATCTGGGGCAACCCCAAAGATAAGGGAGGAGGGAAGAGTTGCTGTATAGATAGTGTACTTGTGAAAACAGCCTGTTTTACTTACTGGGTATTTTCATTTAGGGAAGAAATACCTCCTGTTTACCAAAAGGCAATTTCGAATTTCTTAATTCGATGTGCTCAGATCCCAGTTTATCTTACCCCTCTCCTTCTGTGGCATAAAGGTTGTGATTGACGCTGTTCTTCAGCATAAATAAATCTGGGGTGAATTACTTGTTGCATATGAGTTTTCCATATTTTGGATTATTTTCTTTAGATATATTAAAGATATGATATTAACTAGGTCAAAGGGTTTCAATGTTTGTCTTTCACACTTTTGCCAATACACTCTCAGAAGTTGTAGCATCGTGTCCTGCCTTCTCAGCGTTGTGTCAGAGCACCAGCTTTACTTCATTCTACTGACAGCAGGCATTATTAAGATGTTTCTTTTTGGAAAATTAAATGTATTTTAATTTGCACTTTCTGATCATTAGGAAGGCTGAACATTTTCACATGTATGCTCTCCTTCCTTTCAAATGCCTACATTCTTGAGTTTACTTTGTAGTTCTGGTTTACATTTAAATGTTTATATGATTTTTAAAATGTGACCAATAACATCTGTAAAAGTAACAAAAACTGAAAGAGACTTTCTGATACTTAATTTTTGATGTGCCTTTTGGTTTTATATAGGTGGCTCATTTGGGACACCCTAAAAGGGATACTTTAATCCTTTTACTCTTTTTTAGCCTTATTTCCTTGATTTTTGTTTAGCTAATCATTAAGCTTGAAATTATGGTTTATTTCCTGATTTTTTTCAAAAAGAGATAAAGATGGAGAGAAGTTATGATTGAATTTATAAAATCACAAAGGATATAAGTTAGATGACCAAGAATCTATTTCACTGGCATATACCAAGATGAGGGGGGACCCCTCCAAGCATGAGCAAGTTAAACTTGAGTGAGAAAGGGGCAGCAGGCAGGCAGAATGTTTTATCCTCTGGGGATAGCCTAAACTTAACTTTTCAGGAGCCATGAGACAGAGCAGGGAGGGCAGGTGCTTAAGATATTTGAAGGATGCCTCTTAGAGCACTGGGGTGAACATGGATGCGGCCAATGCACGCCCCACACCAAGAAACTCCCAAGCTTGTTACTGCATCAGAGTCAGTAGGGATTTTTTTGTTTCCTTTTTGGACATTTAGAGTGACAACTTATCAAACTGCTAGTCACCATTGGGCCTGTGTTCTTTGTCTTGTTTGTAAAATCATTTAGAAAGAAAAAGACGACAAGTGGAAAAGAGGGAATGAGTCAGCTCCAGAGAAAAAAATGGAACCTGTTGTTTTTGAGAAAGTGAAAATGGTAAGTGGGAAAGTATTTTTACCGTGTGGATGGCCTCAGGTGCGTTTATACTGTGGAGGGGCTGCATGGGGCTGATAGTGTATTGTACCTGAGGCTTAAGGGTTTCGTTATTTACGTAAACTCACCTGCTGCCATTTCTGCTGCTTTCCCACTGCTTATTGGTGCCTAATCTGTTCTGTAACACTTTCTTAGGGGCCACATGGCAGCTTGGGAACCACATCTGTCCCGTTTAAGCAAGAGGCACGTTCCATGCCAGAATGTCAAGGCTGTGTGACACCTTCTCAGGAGATGTTACCTCTTGTTAGACCTTCTGTACCTCACTTCCTGTTGTGGTTAAGAACAGTCCAGAAGCCAGGCCATACTGATCCATTTTAAGCAATCGCTTCTTGTATTCTTGCTCGTCATATCGAAGGAGACAGCTTTCTCTTTCCACAGGACGTACTGTGGCTGTAGTAGTAGATACTCTCAATATCAGAGCTTGGAATCTTAGTGGAGAGGACTCTTTACTATTTGCTTAAGGAAGCATGTTCTATCATCATCCTGAATCACACTAAAGGACACAGTCATTGGTGATATTGGCAGAGTAAATTAGGTACTCTTTAGGTTGATCTCCCTTGTGGTATTAAAGGTTTTCTAATCACTGGGAGATTTGTTGACTCTCGGCTCTTGTACCATCAGACACCTACCTTTAGTTTTGTTTTTTCCTGGGATCAAAAACTGCTACTTCTATTGGACCCTGATCTGTGGTTGTCTTGGTTTCAGACAGATCTGTCTCTTCAGAAAGCCAAACAAGCACAGATGATATCTTTGTTTTTCACCTTAGGTATGACTTATGCACTCGTGCCTCTGACTTGGTTCTTTCACCTGACACTTCCTGAGTTTTGTTTCTTTGGTAACTGTCTTTGAAGAACAGCAACCAGACCACAGGAATACCTGTGGCTTTACAATGGGGAGGGGGAAAAGGGGTTCCAAACACCTGCTTATTTCTTTCTATAACATATTTTTGCCTTAGCCTCAGAAAAAAGAAGATCAGCAGCTACCTCGGAAAAGCTCCCCGAAATCCACAGCACCTGTCATGGATTTGTTGGGCCTTGGTAAGAGTCAGACTTTTCCACTCCCCTAATCTTACAAACTGAGATGGATTCTCTCTGATCCTGGGAAGGCAGGTAGAGATGGGAGCCTTCGGTTTGTGTCCTTGTCACCAAGAGCGTTTTCTCATGTTCTTCCTGTTTTGCGTCTGAGCAGTTATGCTAAGGAAGTGTTTACTGTGACATTTTCAGAGTGACACGGTACAGTGTAGTGGCTAAGAATGTGGCCTTGGGAGCCAGCATCCCAACTCTGCCACTTACTGTTACGTGACATTGGGTAGTTCACGTAACCTCTGGACATTCCTTTCCTGTCCATGCAGTGAGGATATGAGTGTCCACCGCAAAGGTGCTGTTGGAAGGGTGAAATGAGATAATGCCTCTGGCGCTCTCAGCCCCTTGCCTGGCATATATTAAGCACTCGGTAAATGGTAGCAGTTTTCACTAAACCAGCACCTGTGAGCCTTGCCCCCTTCCTCTCATTTTCAGGTGCGCCCTGTTTCTGAGATGGCCTCTTCCCTTGTGCTCACTTTTCTCCAAACCTTAAAACCCTGCCCCTTTCAGAAGCAGAGCCTGTTTACCTTTCACAGTACTGATGCTCTACTTGATTTCAGCTGATTGAGGTTTTTGGCTACTTAGGCTTCTAATTTCTATCTGTACCTTTAAATTCTCTCTGAAAATGAGTTCTACACAGCTATGAACCTCAAATAGCCAGAAAGGAGCCAGCTAGCTCCTTGCTGTGGTGCTGATGGAGCCTTCAGGCCTGGGTTTCTGCCGCCCTGTGCCCGATACTGGGCTGCAGGGTTCTCCAGAGTGCTCTTGGGAATGTGGGGCGAGGCCTCTGACTTGAGATGCCCCATCCAAGCTAGATGGTTCCAGAAGCCTTGATTTCCAGGTCCATGATGGAGCACATGGGCCTCCTCTGTCTTTGTGTTTGTAATGGAAGGGAGGCATGGGCTTAATGAGCAGGGCTCCATTTCAGCTTTAACCTTTCTTTCAGATGCTCCTGTGGCCTGCTCCATGACAAGCAGTAAGACCAGCAATGCCCTAGGGAAGGATCTAGATCTCTTGGCCTCTGTTTCATCCCCTTCTTCTACAGTTTCCAGAAAGGTGAGTCTTGTGGACTCCACTGGATTTAAAGAGTATTCTGAAAAGAGTGGTTTTTGAGAACTTAATCATGGAGCCAAGTCATGCTTCCTTGGTGGAACTGGACTTTGGTTTTCTTGGTTCTTGATTCATTCTTTTACACTCTGTCTTCTCTGCTATAGCCTAAGATTACTGTTCATTCCATTCTCTACTGCCCCAAAAAGGTGGGCCCTCGGAGTGGGCTTCTCTCTAAGATGTGTCCCATTGTAAAGGCTGATACTTTAGGTCAACTCCTCAGCCTGAGTTATTGCCAGAGAATTTGTAGGTATGAAAGACCTGAAGCATTTGATGGCTACTGTTTGTGGAATAGCTGCTATGTACCAGGCACAGTGCTAGGTGGTGTTGTATATTATTTTGTATATTTCATTTGTAGTTTAAAATCTTCATCACAACCCTGCAAAATGGATATTTTATAGATGAGGAAACATTAGTTTGGAAAATGTATGTGACTAGCCTCCTGATATACAACTAGTAAGGGGCTCCTTTGGCATCTAAACTCAGTTCTTTCTGGCTGCATCATTTATAGGTTGCTTTTCATTTGAAAGTCTTTTTTTAATTAAAATAATTTAAAAAAAAATTTTTTTTTTTTAGCAAATTACATTGCTTTGATAAAGAATAAAGTATTGTTCCAGAGCTTAACTATCAGGTGTTTTCAGATATTTGTATGGTAACAGTGTCAGGAGGCTATTGACCCCAGCCATCAATTCTTATTTCACATGTTAGAAGCCGCAGAGAGATGAGGGAAGTCCTTACAGAGACCCCCATGAGGAACATCCCAATTGTACCCTTGCCCTCTTTGCCCTAAGGTTGTAGGCTCCATGCCAACTGCAGGGAGTGCCGGCTCTGTTCCTGAAAACCTGAACCTGTTTCCAGAGCCAGGGAACAAATCTGAAGAACCGGGCAAGAAGCAGCTCTCTAAAGACTCCATCCTCTCACTGTATGGATCCCAGGCGCCTCAGATGCCCACCCAAGGTAATGGGCCAGGTAGAGACATGAGAACTTAAATGCAGGAGTTATTTGTTGTGGCAGGGCAGTTGCTTTGGGGGCCGTGACATCACATTCCAAACCATCCTGAACACCAGTGACATTTCTTGTGAAACCACAGAGTAGCAGCAGGTTCTTCCGTGGCGCTGGTGTCACGTCTGTGCAGTCTGACTCAAGGCCTGCATCTAGACCTTAAAGAAGTGGCTCGGTCAGCCAGCCACTGGTGGTAGCCCCTGGCAAGTCTTGTAGGGAATCTAACTAACTGTGTGGCTGTGTAAAAGAGGGTTCTGAGCTGGGTAGTCCTGAGAAATTCTAGCTGGAAGGGAGTAGCCAGTGAGACTTTGGACTAGCTTTGTGTGCTTTCCTAACAGATCTGTGTGTATGTTCTCTTGGCAGCAATGTTCATGGCTCCTGCTCAGATGGCATATCCCACAGCCTACCCCAGCTTCCCTGGGGTTGCACCTCCTAACAGCATCATGGGGAGCATGATGCCCCCACCAGTGGGCATGGTAGCTCAGCCAGGGGCTTCTGGGATGGTTGCCCCCATGGCCATGCCTGCAGGCTATATGGGTGGTATGCAGGCATCAATGATGGGTGTGCCAAATGGAATGATGACCACCCAGCAAGCTGGCTACATGGCAGGCATGGCAGCTATGCCCCAGACTATGTACGGGGTTCAGCCAGCTCAGCAGCTGCAGTGGAACCTTACTCAGGTAAGCTACCCTGTTTTCTTTGGGATAAGAGTTTCAGACTTCCTCAAGGCCATCTCACTTCAAATCTCTCCCTATCCTTTGACTCCTCACAGGAGATAACACCAGAGACATTCGTAGACTTAGGTTTGCTTCTTTTTCTTTCTGGAAGGTCTGTCTAAAGTCAGACTTTCTGCAGAGTTCTGGGTTCCTGTAGAATAAGGGTAACTGCCTAATCTAAGTCTCTCCATGCATTCATCAAAACAAAAACAAAAATAACCTATACAGATAAACAAGGAGCGCAAATAAAACCTCTTATAACCCATGGCTACCACGTTAGGCAGACAGAATGCTACAGGCTTCAAATTACATGGCAGGGGGCATATAAACACCTAACTCCAGCAGAGCTAGCATCATAGAGGAGACTGAAAAGGGGAGAGGGAGCAGGAGGCTGGAGGTGACAGGAGAGAGATGAAATCATCCCCTGGAAAAATAAAGACCTGAGTGGAAAGACCATGGATTGGAAACATGCTGAGAAGAGGTCTGAGACCTGGTAGATTAGGACTGTGGTTATTTGGAGAATCAAAAATAAGGGATTGAAGCCCTAGCCGGTTTTCTCAGTGGTTAGACCATCGGCCTTAGGACTGAAGGGTCCCCGGGTTCAGTTCCGGCCAAGGGCACGTACTTCGGTTCCAGGGTCCATCCCTGGTCCCATTGGGGTCACGTGTGGGAGGCAACCAATCAATGTATCTCTCTCACATCTATGTTTCTTTCTCCCTATCTCCTTTCCACTCTCTCTAAAAAGCAATGGAAAAAATATCCTCGGGTGAGGATTTGAAAAATATAGGATTATAGATGGTAGCCTTAAAAGGAGAATGTGCTCTTTGGAGGCCTGGTGGTGAAGGGAAGTAGAAAAGATAAACAAATAAATACACCATCCTCCCCGCAAAACAGTCATTTCACTCTCCTAACAGAAGAGGGTGCCCTTGAACTAAGAATGGCACTGATGGATTATCACTCACTGAAGGAAAAAAACCCCGTGAGTCCATCGTAATATTTTATAAAAAATGGGTGTGAGAGAAAGAGAGGGAAAACCTCCTTTATGCAAGAATGATCACTAACAATTGTAGAAAAATAGGGTATTCACATATTCTCAAAGAAATATGCCTCAGATTATGTATTAATTACAATGAAAAACTTAATGATAGTTACTGCCATAGCCAAGTGGTCAAATGTAACGTATACTGGACACATTAACATGTGCTTTCTGGTATCTTGCACTAAGACCTAAGGACACAATATCACCTACGTAAACTCTTGCCCAAAATGGATCTAGTGCTAAGAAAACATGATATAAATCCAAATTGAAGGATTTTCTGCGTGAGTGGCTTGGATTCTGAAAACAGTGTCAGGAAAAGAAAATGTTGTGGGGGAAGTGTTCTAGATTAAAAAGACTAAAGAGATATGAAAACGAAATGTATATTAGAATATTGTATTAATCTTAAATTTCTTGAGTGCACTCATTGTATTGTGGTTCCAGGAAAGTGTTATTTCTTATGAAATACATCCTGACTTAAGGGGTGAAATGTCAATTTTCAATGCCCATCAAAAGCTTAAAAAGTTTCTACATATACATATCAGAAAATATGGCAAATGGCTAATAATTGGTCAATCTAGAAAAGGGATATATGGGTGTCATTGTACTGTTTCAACTTTTCTGTAAGCTTGAAATTGTTCTTAAAAGTTGGTAGAAGGAAAATAGACTCCTAAGGAAAAAGGACTTGTAGAGAAAATGTACTAGGCTTAGGGAATCAAAGGCATTTTGCTTTGATAAAGTGTTTCTTCTGTTCACAGCCAGGGGCTACTCTTTCAGTCTAATTCATAAAGTGGCCCTCACCCCACTGACTCTTTTCTCCCAACAACTTCCCTTCTCACACACTGAAGACACGTTGGCCCTTTTTTTTTCTTTTTTCTTTTTCCTCCCTTTGTTCATCTGAACACTCCAGCTTCTTTCTCTCTCTGCTTGAGCGCTCGCAGGCACTTTCACTGGCAGTAATAACTCTGCTGGAGATAAGGCAGGGGGTTTCTCTGTCGTCTCAGGGTTGGTGACCACAAATGAACAATAGGGCCCTTCTATTTAGAGTGAGAGCCTGGAAAGGAAAAAGGGAATAACCTCTTATGCTGCTTATATGTTGACTAGCTCCAGGATTCCTTCTTTCCCTTCCTGAGCATTAGTCTCTATCAACATCTCTTTTCCGAAAAGTCCTGCATTTACGTGGTCTGGTGTCCTTGAAATGCTCTATTGAGTTTCAGGGCAGTTCTGTACCACAACAGAGTCCCCTTTGTCCCATTCTCCACATCCCCGCAGCCAGAAGGACTCCGAGCTTGCCTTTTGCACTAATTGGCTGCACGCCCACATCCTGGTCTGAAAGTCTCCTCTCTCCCTTTCAGATGACCCAGCAGATGGCTGGGATGAACTTCTGTGGAGCCAACGGCATGCTGAGCTATGGACAGTCGATGAGCGGAGGAAATGGACAGGCAGCAAATCAGACTCTCAGCTCTCAGATGTGGAAATAAAAACAAAACACCTCTGTATGGCTGCCGCTCTCCGCCCCCCTTCTTCCTCTTTCCCCAACTCTTTTACCCCATCCCCTTTACCTACCTCTCTCTGTTTGGTTTAGGAATTGCTCAATCTGTCATTTGGGGTTTGGCATTCTGCCCAGTCCAGCCACTTTCCACACACACAGCCTCTCTGTTGCTTTACGTTGTACGTGTCCCCTAGCCATCCCGACTTCCTCCCAGCCATCCCAGCCCTGTCCTGCACCAGCACCTTAGGAATTGTTGGCAGAAGGCACTTATACTGCAGAAGGTTAAACCTCCTATCCGTTCTCAGAGGGGTCTGTGGGTGTTGTTTTAGGCAAAGAGGGGAGGGTTTGGAGGTACTTCCATGTGTGTTAATAAGCTATTTCTACATGTTTAAATTGTTGGAGAGGGAGGCATCATGCTCCCATGATTTATGGGAATGAAGAAAGTACTGAAATCAAATTAAATACTTTTTGGGTCTTAGGACAGGTTGGCCCCTAACCCTGGGGAGAGACAAACCTCCATCTATGTGGATAAGCAAAAACATGACTCTCCTGTGCCCTGAATTGCTTTCTGGATCTGCAGCTTCAGGACTTGCTGCTTCAGTCAGCCTTTATTATTAGCACCAAAGACTTATGAAAGCCCCGCACAAACACATAGCCCCTTCCCTGCCTCCATCCTGCCTGCAGTGGGATCTGGCTCCACGGCTGGAGGACCAGCCTCTCCAGAGGGAATGCAGAGCTTAGTGTGTGTACTACGTGTGTGTGTGTGTGTGTGTGTGTGTGTGTATGTATGTATATTCTGCCTCCCACTCTCTCCCCATCTGCTCTGGGTATTTTGGTTTTTCAGGTTTAGGTTTACAACAGAGAGGAATTAATTTATCAACAGCCTAAAACTGTTATCAGTTTTTCTTATAGTTTAAAAAACAATCGCAAGCTCATTGATGGCTCTCTTCCTCCTTTCCCCTCTCCCAACCTGCCAGTCACTTTCATTCCTGTGTATCCCGGGCTGCTCTGTTTCCCCTCCTGTTGCAGGTGTATGAGGCAGAGAGCCTGGGCAGCTTTCCTCTCAGTCATTGTTCACCCTACTTGAAAATTAAAATGAGAACTTTGCTTAAAAGATTTCATCTGTGGGAACCACAATTCCTGGTTGCCTTTCTCCTGTGTATGTGTAAATTCCTTAATAAATATTGCAGGGAAGCACTGTTTGCTTGCTGTTACTGTGTGTCAGTCTTGGAGGAGGGTGAGTTCCACCCACATTTTCTGCTTTCTGGGGCCATTTCCCTCAGTCCCTGTATTTTAAAGAAGTCTGTATGGGGCAAACCCAAGGGCCAGGCCCAGGCCCAGGCCCAGGCTCAGGCTCAGGCTCAGGCTAAGGCTCAGGCAGTCAGAAAGGGAACCTTTATCCAGTGGTGTCCAGAGTGGTGAGCTGAGGGAACTGTGGAAACCTGCACTTGCTAGTCATAGAACATGGGAACTAGAAGCACTCCCCACCCCCTCCCTGTATCCCTGCCTCCCTCCCTCCTTTCCTTCCTTCCTTTGAATACACCTTTTGAGTACTTCCAGATGTGGGAGGATAGCACAGTGGCTGAGAAAGTGAGCTCTGGACGAGGCTACCAATATTCATATCCCTTCTTACTCTGTGACCTGGGCAAGCAACTAAACCCCGTGTCTCAGTGTGAAATAGGGCCAATGGTAACACTTAAGGTAAAATGAAGCAGTTCCTGTGGTGCATGTCGCACAGTATTGGGCACTTAGCACTCAAATGTTAGTAAGTGTTCTGTGCCCAGGCCTATGTTAGGCATTAATTCACTCAACAAATGTTTAGTAAGTGTTTACAGTGTGCCAAACAGTGTCTTGGGCTCTGGAGTAAAGCAATGAATCAAAACTCCCCAATCTCAAGATAGTGCGATAGGAGGGGTGGTAATAAGCAAGCAAATAAATCATTTCATTTCAAGCAGTAGTAATACAAGGTAAGGCAAGTGAAGGGGGAAAAGTGGGTATGGGACCATTTGAAGGGGGAAGTCAGGACGAGGTGACATTTGAACTGAGGCCTGAATGAGCAGCCAGTTGTGTGGGGATCTGGGAAAAGAGCAGAACAAGGGTCAATGTCTGCCTTGGCTGGAGGTATTGGTTTGGGGGCTGTTTGCGTATCGATTGGTATGTAAAGCCCTGAGACTGGGTGCTGTCACCTAAGAAAGCCCAGTGCAAAGAGGACTGAGCCTTGGGGCCCATCAGCTTTTAGAATTTGGAAGGGAGATAAGAAAAAATGAATTCGACATAATCCCCACTCTTAAGAAGCTCATAGTCTCATGGGGCAGCAGACTTAGATGAGAGGTAGTAGTTAACCAGTGGGGGGTGAGGGTGGGCGTGGGGAGAAGAGCGTTCCAGACAGACAGTGCCATGTGAACGAGGCAGGAGCCCTGCAGGAGCACAGAACATTTGGGAAGCACAGCAGTTTGATGTTTCTAAGGTGTGCGAGTCGGGGTGTGGTGAGTGGAAATGTTGAGATGGGGGTGAGCCAGGTCACGGGAGGCTTCCTATACCCTAGGAAAGAGTTTAGCTTGAAGTGTTGTCAACCATGGAGTGACATGGTCAGGTCTGAATTTTAGGCAACTACTGAGAACAATGTTTTTGAGGAGATGGCCAGATCTACGGGACCAGAGGGAGGGTAAGAGCTGAACTAGGGCCATGGCAACTGGGGTAGGGGAGGATGGAGTAGTCAGAGCACAGTTCCTGAGCTGCTTATGAGGTACGTGAGCTTCTCAAAGGCGCTCCCACAACAATGCTGAAGTTTGGGAAAGACTGCATGTTATGTGACCTCTTCTACATCTGGAATATAATAGCCCAATAGTGATGGCTCTGAAAAGCCTTGTGGTAAAGATTTTTAAAGAAATCAATACTTTATTTTTTAGAGCAGTTTTAGGTTAACAAGATTGAGTGGAAAGTACAGAGCGTTCCCATACACCCCTGCCTCCTCCTCTTTTGACCTGGCACCGGAGTGGTACATTTGTTACAATGGATGAACCTACATTGACACATCACTGTCATCACAAATCCACAATTTACATCAGGGTTCACTCTTGGTAGTGTATGTTCTATGGGATTTGACAAATGTATAATGACATGAATCCAACACTAGGTTCATACAGAATAGTTTCACCATCCTAACAATCCTGTGTGGTCTGCCTATCCATCCCTTCCTCCCCCCTAACTCCTGGCAACCGCAGTTTTTTTTTTTTTTTTTTTACAGTTTTCATAGTTGTGCCTTTTTCAGAATGCCATATAGTTGGAATCACACTATATGTAGAATTTTCAGATTGGCTCGGTTCCCTTAGTAATATGCTTTTAAGTTTCCTCCATGTCTTTTCCTGGCTTGATAGCTCATTTCTTTTTACAACTGAATAATATTCCATCATCTAGATGTACTACAGTTTATCTGTTCACTTAGTGAAGGACATCTTTGTTGCTTCCAAGTTCTGGCAATTATAAAGTTACTATAAACATTTGTGTGCAGCGTTTTGTATGGACATACATTTCCGATTCATTTGGGTAAGTACCACGGAGCATGATTACTGGGCTGGATGATAAGAGTATGTTTAGTTAGGTAAGAAATTCCCAAACTGCCCGCCAAAGTGCCTTTACCATTTCGCATTCTCACCAGCGATGGATGAGAGTTTCCATGGCTACAGATCCTCACTAGCATTTGGTGTTGTAAGTGGTTTGGATTTTGGCCATCCTAATAGGTGTATAGTGATATCTCGTTTTAATTTGCAATTCCTTAATCTGTAATGTTGAACATCTTTTCACATATTTGCTTCTCATCTGTGTTTCTTTTTTGGTAAGGTGTCTGCTCAGGTCTCAAATAGCTGTCTGGTTGTCCTTATGACCCTTACTGAATAATCCCACATTACCCCACTAACTTGAAATGTCACGTTTATAATATATTAAATTTAAATTACCAAGTCTGTCTGTGGGCTTCCAATTTCATTTCACTAATTTATGAGTATATTTTTGGCACTAGTTTTATTTTTATTATTATGCCTCTATTAATACAAGATAATATCTTATTGGTAGGGCAATTCTGACTTCATTATTGTTGGAAATTTTTATTGGTCATTCTGGAACACATACCATTCCAGCTAAACTTTAGAATCATTTAACTTAATAAAAAGAAAAGTTGAGATTTTGACTAGGGAGTATTAAAGTGAAGGAAAGTAACATACTTGGAATGTTGTATTTCAATCCATGAGTAAGGTGTATGTCACTTGTCTATTTAAATAACTTTTATTTATATGCCCCACATAATTCTTGTCTATGCTTAGTCTTGTTTTTCCAATATTTTATTTTGAGAATATTCAAACATACAGAAAAGTTGAAAGAATATTTTTGAGTAGCGGATAGGTGCGTGAACTGACTGGATTCAACACTTGCAAGTTGCGTAGTACAGGGGAAGTTAAGTAACTTCTCCAAACCCTAGTTTTCCTATCTGCAGAGTGAGAGTAGTAATAGTACTTACCCCAAGGGGCTGTTAAGAGGACTAGATCAGTTAAAATATGTAATGCACTTGGAGCAAAGCCTCATCTTCTGAACACATTGTGCCAGGGTAGTAGTCTGCTTGGGTTGTTATAACAAAGTATCATAGATTGGGTGGCCTAACAGAAATTTATTTTCTCACAGTTCTGAAGGCTGGAAGTCCCAGATCAAGGTCTAGCAGGGCCAGTTTTCGGTGAGGTCTTTCTTCCTGGCTTGTACACAGTGCCTTCTTCCTAAATTCTCACCATGACCCTTCCTCAGTGCCTGTACCTTCAGAGAGAGAGAGAGAGGGAGCCCTTTGGTGTCTCTTCTCATAAGAACACTAATTCTTATGGGTTAGGGCCCCACCTATATGATCTCATTTCATCTTAATTATTTCCTTTCTCCAAATACAGCTGCACTGGGGTTAGGGCTTCAACATACGATTTTGGGGGAGTAGGTGGGGAGGCACATTCAATCCATAACAGCTAGCAACTACATAGTTTTATGCTATTTTCTAAATTGTAATTTTTGTAACTACTGATGTAGAAATATGTATTTGGAATGATGTACTACTATTTTGTTGAGGACACAAAACTCAGCAATATAACAGCATTACAGTTTAATCATTTTTGCAAAACAAAATTACATAAAAATGCATGAAAAAAACCATTGCTGTGCGTGTGTGTAGGCATGTGTGTGCACCAAATGTTAGCAATGGTTATCTCTGCTTGGTGAGGTTATAGATAATTATTTTGCTTTTGTGCATCTTCTGGAATTTCAGAAGTATAAGGAAAGCGATTAACATAAGAATTTATTGGATACTAGAGCAAAAAACTACCCGATCGTGGTATTCTCTTAATAAAACACTGGATTCCATTATATTTTCAGTCTTCCGCGTACCTTTTATAAAGTGACAGTGGTATGGATTCTTTTACACCAACGTTCTTTAGACCAAAAAAATGATACAGATGTTTCCCTTTTATCAGAGGGTTCAAACCTCCCGCCGGAGCATTCACGTGGCTGTTCTGGGCGCTGGGGGGAGCTGGTTCCATTCAGCAGCCTCCGGGAGGGGCGGACCGGGACCGGTGCCGGCTGCGCGCCGCGGGGCTGGGGTCCGCACGCTGCAAACCCAGAGGGGCCGCAGCACCCGCGGGG